TTTTCGCGTCCGTGTTGAATTTATGCACGTAAGACGTATAATATTTGGCCAGTTTTGGGGACTATTAATTCAGCCCCCGCCCTTGCCCCCCCCATGTCTCCCTTCAGGGCCAAAAGACGGATTACTACGCCTGCTGCATAATCCTGTCTACAAAATATTTGTTCAGCCACCGTGAAGGAAATATGAATCATTCATGCGGCCTCAGATCGAAGCCAGTTAGAGGAAGAGAGCGTTCTGCGTCCAACGACCTCCATCTCTGATAATGACGATAAACACCGACTTACTCGCCATGCACAAACTACGTGCAATTATACACGATCAGCGATTCCCGACTCGCTTGTTTGGGAAATGGAAGCGCATTTTGTTGTCCTAAAAATAATAAATGAGCCTTTATCATTTGCTCATTTTATTGGCTTCATGTTTGGACGGCACGTAGGTGTGAGATGCATATTGGCGATACACTAATTGATTAGTGCCGTGTCGAATAACAGTGCCTGACAATGCGAATTTTACCCTGTTCTTATAATTAAACTCAAAGTTCAACCTCATCGTTGCAGAATCCTTGACAGAACAGCTCATGCTTGTCAGGTGATAAATTCTGTTTTGACAATGGTTCCGGCATCGTTAACGAAAAACCAATTAATTTTGGAATGCTGTAATAAAGAGATTAATACCTAAATGTGTCATTGTCATACACAACGAAGCCCTATTTACCGAGCAAATGGATGGGAATGCGGTTAGCATCAACTTTCTAATTGCTATGCTAGCAAGGCGTGTGCACGGTCCAAAGTGCAAACGTATCTTTGCACTTGTGTTGACCAATGTAATACACCATTGATATTGCAATTACATGTAAAAGTTTCGGCAATAAATGCCTTATTGCCTTCACATCAAAACTTAGGCTACCACAGTAAGCACCACTGGCATTGACGGAACAATCGTTGGCTGAGCGGCACGTGCCAGCCCCGCCCCTCCCCTCCCCCCAGCGCCATACTCACGAGGCTATGCTCTTGCTCAGTGGCCACCTCTCCATCGCTGCCTGATACTTCATGTTCTCAATCTGCTTTGTCAGTGTCTCCTTATCCATTCTTCGTCCACGCTTGAACCCAGCTCAGTAGCGCTGACACGCTGATCTCACGCCGACCGCCGGATTCACACTGACGCGCTCTCTCGTCGCCCGCCAGACGAATCCCCCTCTCTCGGTCGCCGCTGCCGCCAGAGTCGCACGCTAGCATCCGATCGATCGGAACCAGTGACGTCAGAGGTCCGTCCGAGCTGACTGATCAGCTGATACGATAGATAGGTATCGGGAAGAGGCTTCCACTCGGGGTGCACTGATGAGAACAGCTTTGCGTGGAGGTGGGCTGATAAGGGATACAGATGGACAGACTATGACTATGGTTTTGGTTTTGTAGATCTAAGATTCCAGCGATGCTGAGGTCGTCGGATCAGGACGGGTGGACTGGGGTAGAGGGTCATAATGCGATTACGGGGCTGCTGAGTTCAGGGAAGATCAGATCGGACAGATATAGGAGCGTGGAGGCTGATGGTCTGATGGATAATGGTGGATAGCGGAGAGTGGGTCCTGAATACTGTTGGATAGTGGTGGATAACGCTGATAGTCTGATGATGTATGCGAGCCCACCGTTGCTCGGCTCAGAATTAAATTAGGACGGAAGGGCTACCGCGGGCCGCAGTCGATGCATGGGTTATAGTATAGATGAGGATCTCATCATCCTGATCAATGATCATCTCAGAACCATGGAGTGTGACTGCCGATGCATTTTAGCGCAGCTTGTGTAGAAACCTACGATCCTGCAACTGCGAGCTCACTTAGGTACATTACCATAGACGGACGAACCCACGAATAAGAAAATACAATAGCCGTTCTCTAAAGGCTCGGACTGCAGGGACGTTACAATGGAGGAGAAACGATTCGATTTAACGGTTAAAATCGTTCTGCGATGTATCAAAAACAAAATTCTGAAATGAAACAAAATATAAAATATGAAACACAATTATCCACGTTGAAAGCTGTAGGTGACGATGCAAAATGTTGTCATTAAAGGTCATCGAATGTCAATAATCCATTCTGACTGCAAAACTGCTGGTGCTAAGCTTAAAAATGCTACCCGAGAAGGAAGGGCATTCGGTACACTTTCCCTCGCAGGTCCGAGACATTTAACAATTTAAAGAAATTTTGTCGTTTCCCCGCAAAGAAACAACACTTGACGCTGTCACCTCGGACGTATCTGAACATTAGGACAATTGATCCGACTGCTCCAATGTTCAATATCTATTGGGGTGCATAACTGCATATCCTCATGGCCCATGGCCTATGGCACCCGTTGATCCAAGCGACCATGCAACATATTTACACTTTGTAATTGCTCAATTCAGCACAATACCTGCTCGTTCAGTTTCGCTGCGCATTTTATGCGGCGTAGCCTTTTCATTGAATTTCACTCTGTCAGGCACTAGAAGTGACACTATGTAAATGTCACCGAGTGGCACAACTCGTCGACTTATTGACGCCGAATCGGTCCATTATCGTTGACCGCGCTAACGGACTGGAAGGCGACAAGACAGTTCCGCCGGGTCGCCCATCACACAAAACGCCATGCAGGCATTAGCGACCTTCACTGGGCGGAATAGTTTGCGAATACTTTCATTGAATGGTTAAGATCGGAAGTTTGCCGCTCAACACCGCTCAAACAAAGTGGTCGCAGAGCTAGTGTACAGTGAATGTCAACTTCGCCGGTTAAAGGCAAACAGACTTTCATGCGCTGTGTTGCCGACATACGAATGGTGGTCATGCGCGGCAATACAAAAATTGACACATTTCGTCTAGTGACGTTGGGGCTGCCATGAATAAATGTCGGCATGTCATCACTTGAAAGGCTAGGACACCACACCAGAAAAGGTAGACACACCAGACCTTGGCAAGTGAATGAGGCATTCGGAACAGAGCAGGGCCAGGGAAAGGCCAAGGAAGGTAGCTTCGACTACTCCGAATTGGAATTGCTCAGTGTGTAAGGAGGCCCTACTCGACAGTATGGGAAGACCACGGGCCAGGAAGGACAGCTTTACCTGACAGGTACGGCTCTCGCGAGATTAAGCGGTAGGTTTTGCCCTTTTCACATTTCCGGTTATAGCTCAGAAACTAATCGATCTACGATGAAGCCATTTTAAACGATCATAGCAGGCTTGTGAACGAGCAAGTCTATCGCATCTTCAACACTCTTAGCTTAAGCTTAATACGATCAATATCAAGATATAACCTGAAGTATACTAAATTTCATAGGTGCAAAACCTGCCGTTCAAACCCGCGAGACTGTACCTACAACTTGATATCAGGGAAGGAAGGAGCTCAACTTGTTACCGTCTTGCTATCTTCTCGAAACTCCAGCTGCAGAAGGTCGTGAATCGCGATGGCTCCACCGCCTGTGCCGCCTTGTCACCGTCTCGTCTACTGGGCGTTTTGGAGTCTAGCGGCCGGCTACGCCCTGATACAGGTCTCTGACTGCGTTCGCCGGTACCTGGCCGAACCTGTGAGCGGTCACCGCGATACGATGTATTTCAGTTATCTTCCGGCACCGGCTATTACACTCTGTAACCCGCTCATCGACGGGCTAAGTACTGACTGGCTGTTCGAAAGTTTCCAGAACCAGAAAATCTCAGACTTGTCGTGGGATGAGCACGGTAATGACACCATCCCGTTTCTACTGCGCTCGGCATTTGTAGACGCGGAGCGCGCACTGGAAGATTGCTGGCTGGTGGGGCGGCCGTGTACAGAGGTGGGTACTTGGACCCGACGACTTCATAGCGCCACAGGAGATTGTTTTACCTTCACCCCAAACGCCAGCGAACGCATCCCGGTTGGTGATGGTTATCAGGTCACTTTCCTGCTACCACGAAGTGTTTACAGCTCAATCAAGGAAACCATGCATGAACTACGTGGTGAGAAACTTATTCAAGTGAGCCTGGAGCGTGGATCTATGCGGATTTCCGTGCACATTCATCCGGCTAACGAGCCGTTCTCTCCGCTTCCCTGGATCCAGCCCCAAGAGCCGCTCTATGTCATACCGGGGGGACAAGCGGAGATTCGCGTCACCATGGAGGATATAGAACGTGTCAGCCAGCGTCATCTACCCTGTGAGTCACGGGCCGACTACAACAGCGTCCAATGTGCTCTGCTTTGCTACGCTGAAGCTGCCGTCGCCTCCACCGGACTCGACTGCCGTTCCACCGACTTACCGACCACAGCGCCGCTCTGCGACAACTTTGCGAACTACTCATTTGTCCAGAGGGCGTTCGTGACGGCGGCTGGCGCTCAGGCGGCAATGGAACCGTGCCGCCAGCGGTGCCCAAGACCCTGTCATCAGCGACGATATCTTGCCGTACCGAGCATCAGTCAAGGTCAGGATGAGACCCGTCTGAGGAAGTTTTCGGTACGGGTGTACTACGCTGGCGAGCCGGTGCACCTGTACCGAGAGCAGTGGGCCTACGGCGCCTCGGCGGTTATTGGAGAGGCGGGAGGAGTTTTGAGCCTTCTACTGGGAGTTTCGGTAGACTCCCTGCTTCAGGTTGTGCACAAGATGGGTTGCTACCTGTTCAGACGTGCCTTTGCTGCCGTTCACACGATCAGCCAGTAGAGCATTACTCGCTGATTCGATCCGTAGTTATCAGTCGTAGAAACGGTCTCGTGGAATGGAAATCCCTTGCGCAGGTAAAGCTGTCATTTCCCGTAACCACTCTACTCGAATAAATGTGAGGGAATGTAGCATGTCGTGACTACGATATACAATAGAAGCGTGCACCCATATCTAACGACATTCGTAATGTATCGTCAGCTGCAGGGTAAAGCCAATGTGGTGGCATATGGGTAACAACTGTATCTTTTAGCTATCGGTATAGGATGCCAGCGAAATAAATAAACGGAGCATAAGAATTCTGACTATAGCAGCAGACACTTCCAGTTCACAACACAAAATCAGACATCATTGCACTCGCCTCAATATATTGACGACTTTTGCATCACACACCATAGCAAGGCAAGATCAACGCAGTTAGAAACGGTGAGATCAGTTTGGGATAAAGGCTGAGAGCTTGGCTTGGTTATGGCCTTGAATGCCGACAATGACTAGCCACAGTCCGAGCAGTCACTAAACATAACTTCAGACGACACTTTGGGTGAACAGCGGTCAAGTTGAAGACATATTTTGCCTGCAGCGTGGAGTTCCCGACATTTCACGTTAATTTCAATAAATCATGCCGATGTGGCCAGGCACATAAAGAAGGACAAAGAGCGAGATTCAGCGTCCGGAGTTCGGTATTATCCAAAGATGCCGTTCATTTGGTGAATGCACAGCAACATTGTGCATGCACAACGCACTAAATTTACTGACAGGCATGGCAGTCAAAATTAATGCCAAATGTGATGTGACGCGGCATGCTCTAGGCTTTCATGCTGACTGATAGTAGAAAAACAAGAGAACGTAAGCATCTCGAATGACAATGCTCTCAGCACCTCCAGTGACACTCCGCTCAACTAACTGCTCAGACAGGGGAGCCGACACAAGTCTATACAGATCACAGCACTTACATATGGTTTCCATTACGCTCAGTGTTGAGACTGCAAGCACGATCATTCCAAAAATCCACAACCTATGCGTAGGTTCAGTTATTGTCTGTCTTTGAGTTTCCAGAAAACGGACATCTGCGTCTTGAATTAACAGCACTAACAGCGAATTTGACTAAGCGACTCAATATGACATCAGAACAAGTAATAACAGCTCGTCTTGCAAACAAGCCATCACAGACAGCAGGTGCGCTAAAATTAGCGCATCCAGAAAATCGACCACGCAAGGAGCACAGCTCGCTGCAAAAAGCGACACCTCAGGACTAGCAAGAGCAGTATTCATAATCGGTTAGCACACACAATATCAACACGTCACTTATCGAACTCAACTGCAATCACACTTACAAATGGCAGGTTATTGTTCACTAACAGTATTACACATGGCTTGTGTAAAACGACCCACACGCGTAGGACAATACAAACCGTATGAACAACCAACCACACACTTTTCACGTTCACACGGCTTAGTAAGCCGGTGACATTACCTGAGCGAACGGCGACTGGTCCCTACTTCCTAGAATATCCACGTACCAGTACAGCCTTTTCTCAATTCAACAATCTGTTCATAAGAGCAAGGAGACGACAGGAGATGCCAGGAGAAGACAGAAACTGCCAGGAGAAATCCAGGAGAAAACATTCTGCTGTCTTTACAATCAGATGCACACCATCTGCTCTGCGTGGACGCCGACGGTCCGTTGTCTCTTCAGCTGGAACACTAAGATAGCGTTCAAAACTGGCCACCAGCCTGCCGTCTTCACAATCTCCCAATATGCAAGTTACAACAGATAGCAACGGATGAGCGACGATCAAAATTTAGAACTGAACACCCGCTTGCCTTCGCCTCAATCTTTCCATATGTAGCTGATACAGATAACAGTTTATGGAGAAGTACTCTGGACACTCCTCTGGACTCAGGTCCGGCTCCGCAGGCAGTGGCGCCGGCGCCGGGGTAGAAACAACAGGGGCGGGAGCGGAGCCATTCACCAACACTGGCATGTGTAGAGGCGGGTCGGTGGAAGGGGAGGGGGTGGGGAGAGCGTTCGACGGTCCGGCCGCCGACCAACCGTTGGAGCTTACCTAGAGGGAACAGAAGGCACTGTCAGAGGTGACGATGCTCACGGCGAAATGAGACAACTGAGACATCCTTTGACGAGTAACGGCAGTCAAACGCATTGAAAGCAATGCGTGCTAAAGAAAGTAGCGGTCACATTTGCGCGAACCAATGAATGATCGATAGTCAATGACCAAATGTGACGGACGACTGTGTTATGCGACTTTGATGCACCACTGAAAATCAAATCACGTCTGGCAAATAACTGTACCATCGCCTCGATGGCGGGTCGGAGACTCACCCCCTGTCCATATTGCGTGTTGAGTGAGAGACTATTGATACGTTTGGAGATCGGCAGACACTCGCTGTCCATTTCGTCATCGTCACGCTCCCGCTTCTGGCCAACCCTGCGACGATAAATGAGTCAGCGGGTAGCACCAGGGCTGCACCAGGGCTACAGAGTCGAAGCAGGAGTCGAAGTACGGCGGAGTCGATGGTTCCGACTGGAATCAGAGTTGGAGTTGCTTTTGGAAGCTGAAGTCAGAGTCGAAGTTAACAAAAGTCCAATGACTCCACTGAATTGTCAGGTCTGCAGAGGTGGGGTCAGAGTCAGTCAGAGTCGTCAGTTCTGGCCAGTCAGACTCGCAGTTGATTCTTGGAAGCCAGAGTTAGAGCCAAAGTCACCAAAAATCCATCGACTCTACAACCCTGGACAACACAAACAAGAGGCATCAGCACACAATAAATGAGGGAAGAGGGCTTATCAATTCTGCTGAATTGGGATGAGCCTTCCCATTAGTGGTGTTGTCCATTGCTCCTGAGATGTGCGGTGGTAACACACACACTGGCCATTGAGTCATTGTAAAAATTATGCATGAATAAATCAGGGCAGCTCATTGAACTTTTCCCTTAAAAAATGAAGAAAATTATATATGCTTGGAATACAAGGGTTTTAGGCTGAATCCTCAATCAAAATATTATTTCCAGCCCTTTAAGAGCTTACCTTTCAAGGTTGAATCCATTTTCTTGATTATTCATGATATGGATGCAGAAATCAGATAAATCTGAAATACAGAAAGATTTAATGTTTGAAATAAATCCTTACCTATAGTTGATATGGTAAAACCCAACAAATGGTGAACCCAATCTTAAGGTGTTTGGCATTGCACCTTTTGTTGCTGTGACTAGCAAAAGTCAACAATAGGTATACCCTTTGAGTTAACCATGGCTTTGGTCTGGCTTTATTGAAAAAATGTCTTAAGTGACAAGCAGTGAAACACCATGCACATTGAAAAGCAAAGATACTAAAAGATCACTACAATAGGTTACAAACAAACCAAACCAGTCGGGCGCACTGTGGTATCTCCGATTCATTTATGGAGACGTTTCTATTATTGGAAACGTTTCCAATTTTGACTACTCTTCTGTTCCAAAAATGGAAACGCTCGTTCCATAAATAGAAACGCTAACATCTCTGTACATATTTTCTTGCTAAGGTTGGCTGGATTTGATGTATAACAACTGTTTCGCGTAAAACAAGCTCAGATACACCAAAAGCACTTGTCTTCTTGCATGGAAAGCTGTCGTATGCATTCAAATTCACGTCTTTAAAATGCTCCTGAATCGTATCCATTTATGGAGACTTAGTTTCCAAAAATGGAAACGCCGATGTTCCAAAAATAGAAACGCTGAAGTTCAAATGTGTGCAAACTTAGCTTAAATGTGTTTTTAAAATTCACATGCAACTAAAAATTTGATGTTTTGGGACTGGTTTAGCATCTCGGCTCTCGGCAGTTACCTTGGACGTCGGGTTCGATAATAATAGGGGAGAGTGGGGCAAAGCGGCCACCCTAACGCTTCTCACGGTGCCAACGCTTGATTTTTAAACTTGGAAAGATTCTTTCTATACCAATGTGATCCCTATTAAGTTGCCTTTTATTTCAACTGCGTTTTATTTCCAAAGGCGTTCACATATGAAAGATATTGACAAAACTTTAAACCTATGCATATTGGCCACTTTGCCCCATACCCTGGGGCAAAGCGGCCACCGGCGTTTTCTCAAGTCCCGATATGAGAAACAAAATAGTTGCCTCGTGTACGACTAGGGTATTTGATGGTGATAAGGTTAAGCGAGGATGGATGTTTACTTTATCATCTTCCACCTGTAGGTAAACAAAGAAAGGATTTTCATGAAAATAAACATTTAATTGCATTATTTGGTAACTCATGCAACTGAAAAGTGGCCAAGATAAATGCATGACGACACATTTGAAGATCAATAATGTTTTTTATCCAGATGGAAGCAACTTATGGCCAATTGGGGGGTGGCCACTTTGCCCCGGCCACTTTGCCCCGCGCATACCGTCCGAGACAAAAATATTCCAGCTTAGCTATTGGTGGGGTAAAAGACATTAAAATTGGTAGAATACATGTACGATAACCATGCAATGCACGGACAAGAACGCTTATAAAAATTCCAAACGGTTGTGGAATAACATAACATTTAAAAATTGTAAACATAGTTGGTAACCTGGCAAGAAATGCTTTTCCGTGTTTCACAGAACAATGGTGATGGGCCTGAAACCCCGGTCTGGCTCATTCGAACGACCGTGAAGAGAAGCATAATTGGAAACCATAAATTTGAACTGACGCCAGCTATGAAGGGCTAAAACGATGGGTGGCCGCTTTGCCCCGGGTGGCCGCTTTGCCCCACTCTCCCCTACATTACGCGCCGCAACTTAAGCACATTCAAAAGTCAACTAAAACTAAGATTTCCCAGAAACTACTGGACAGATGTGATCCAAAGTGGGCAATACATAAAGCGTAGATATCATTTCAATATATAAAATTGATATCAATGTTACACATGAGCCAGAATGAATAAATTCATTGTAAGAATACAACGGTATTTGGAGTGACGACGGTGCAGACCTTATTTCCATCCTGCTTTTTAAGTACTTGCACGGATATTTACGTTGATCCGAGCCTACGATCATATTCAGCACATTTGAAATATAAAATGCCCACTTAAGTCTCCAAATAGGGCTTTGCAACAACTTTTATGCGATTTAATCAAAGATTGACGATCACCAGGCCGCTGATACACTGGAAAATGCAGCGTGAAAATGAATGAAAAACTGAAGTTCCCGGTGATGTGGTTGTTCCAATCAATGGGCCAGTCTTTCAGTAGTCTGGTAAAAACGTTATTTTTTGTTCAAAACATTCATAAATGTTGTTATTTTCGATTAGAAAAACGTGTGAATTTTTTATCACGTCAACATGTTATAAGCATCGCCTCGTTCGTCAACTTTCGGGTTTCTGATCGGAAAGTCGGAGACCAGGAACATAAACTAGAATGCTGGCTGTCGATTGGTGGCATCCTGCACATGCCAAATTGCACCAATCAATGCCCAGTTTGCTTTAAAGGTAGCGAGCTACACAGCGTCTCCATTTATGGAACGGACCGTTTCTATTTTTGGAAACGGCGTATCCATTTTTGGAACATTGTTCCAAAAATGGAAACGTTTCCATAAATGGATCGGAAATACCAAGTGTGCCCGACTGAAACCCAAAATCATCAGTCTGTATAGGTAGCATTTTAGTGAAAGGAGAACGTGACTGAAAGAGGATTGACAAAGAAATTATAGGCCTGAGGCCAGTTCTACCAACAGAAAAATAGCCGCCTGCTGGAAATTTTTGGCTTAAGACCACTTCACATAGGTACGGAACATAAAAGATAAGGCCCTATCTGCTTACGTGCCCATCACGATTACGCTCAGTGTGTGAAGCAGTCTTCAGGCAAAAAATTCCAGTAGGCGGCTATTTTTCTGTTGGTAAAACTGGCCTCAGTTGACATTATTTGACAAGTTGACCTCAGAGAAGAGAAAAGTGACAGAGACTTGACTTTCCCCTCAAGTCAAGTGAGTCAAGTTCTTATATTACCTAAAGTTCAACAGGATGTGGTGGCTGCTTGGAATCTACTGAACAAGGTTGTGCTTGAGAACTCTTCCTGCTATATGTTTTAAATGAACCACTTGAAATTGAACCGTACAAAGAATATCCAGCAATCTTACCCATGCAACCCCATACACTATTTTCTGTTTATCATGTACGATCCAATACTCACGCAGCAAAGACGTTCTCGGTGCGTAGCCCTTAGCCTCATTCAAAAGTCACGTGACCTTTTGGATTATGTTGAAATAAACTTTGTTATTGTAGATATAAAAAATTCATCTTATAACACAAAAATTAATCGTAATTATCGTAACAAAAAATTATCAATAAGTTTTAACTGAGCAATTAGGTCAAAAGCATATTTAATTTTCAGCTTGCGCACATACCTCGTGATTTTAGGGTAGCAGTGGATTACAGTGAAGTCAGTAGCCGGGTACACAACGACACAAATCGGAGCGGGCCAGCCAAGGCCCTATATACCAGGTAGGGTCGTCCGGCGATTCTACCTTTTCGTGACGTCAGCTCGTGACGTCATTTGGAGTCAAGTCTCGAAGCCCCGTTCAATCCCCATGTAAATAAGCGATTTTCGAAGCACTGTAGAATGAAGTCTGCATAAGATATATCAAACCTAAGTATCTTACCTGAAAGAGCAGACAATTTTCTGCAAGTTATCTTTTACGTGTTTTTCGCTAAATCTTTTGCTTTTTTCACAAAAGCGTAAAATGTCCCCCCATGTCTCCGCAGCCTCCCTGCCGCCGGCCGCCGCGCGGTCGCGGTAGTGTAGTGGTTAGCGTGCCCGCGCAGTATTCCAAAGGTCCCGAGTTCGAATCTATGCGGTGCGGAACTTTAATTGCAATTCCAAGCTGAATATACGCACATCCATAATAAATTATTATTCGTATAGCTAAATTGTCACCAAGCTATCCATATAAATTGACTTCACCCAAAATATCGGCAACATTCTATCAAAATATAAATTCAAATATGGCGGCTTGGACTGCCGCGTGCGTTAGGCTCCGCCCATAGCTCCGCCCACATGCGTGACGTCATTCGTGTTAGTGGACACACGCGGAGATAGGGGACGACATGGGCCTGGGGCCAGCGAGGCCCGGTAGTGGGCTAACATGCGGTTCACACCACACTCCACATGCCTACCCAACGTCTCACTACACACGCCTGCGATAAATGGTTACCAGTAATTAAATGCCCTACTTCGATTTTTATGACGAATAAAAAGTCATTCAATCCAAAAAAGCCTATAATACTCACTTACAAACAATATTTCCTCAGCAGCTATGCGCCGATGTGAGCCTGCCTTTACCTGGCATCGGAGTGGGCCAGCTAAGCCACCTGCCGCGGAGATGGCCAGGCTGGCCCACTGCGAATTTCCACGGAGAAAAAAATATGCAGATGTCACGCTGATTTACTGACTCAGCACCTTTTCACTGAATTTGTCACCTACGGTGGGCTACCGGCCTCAAAATGAGAACCTGGGCGCATGCGCGTATATCGCATCTAGGACAATTTTATTGTCAAGAAGAGGGAGATAGGTAAGTATGGAACGTTTCTAAAGCTGTTTTTTGTATTTTGACGGCCTGTGGCTAAGGTAGGTGTTATGAATTTATGTTTTTAATGAATGTGCTGGTTCGTTTGCTTGCTGGCTGCTCTTACTTACCTACTTTCTTGCTCTTTCGTTTTGAATTTTTCCCTGCTAAATTTCTACCTGATAAGGCATTTATAAATATGCAATATATTTATATTGTCTCTAATTTCCATGTAATGCCAGTGCATGGAAATACTGGGTGCTTATATGCATTCAATAATATTGCTGCAATTCTGTATTACCTATTGAATGAAATGAAATAGGCTGTTTATTCTATTAAAAATACATATAGGTATTTGTGTGCAGGCTGTGGCGCCTGGCGCCGCGGTATTGGTAAAGCTGGCGTCTCTGTCGACGCTAGCCGGCGAATGTGTCAATTTAATTTATATTTTATACTGGGTATAATAAAACATAATCTAACCTGACCTAACCTTACCTACAAACTTACAACCTACCAACCTACATACCTACACCTTACCTACCTACCTGCCTTCCTATTGCTGACCGTGACGCCAGCGTAACCGATACCGCTGTGTCCAGCATCTTGCTCTGAAATCTGATTTAGATTAAGGAAACTGCATATCAATATAGGAAAATGATAAAGAAGAACTTTTGTAGATTGATTATGCTGTTCTTGTTCCATCTTTCTGAACTCGCCTGTGGTTTGTGGACTCTTAAAACGCAGTAGATGCGTCAGTGTATTTCCCTTTGTTGGACATCTGTTGCAGGTTAGTTTCTGGCTTGAAAAAGTATTAAATTGTGTGTTGTCTGTATTTATATTAATATGCATCAACAAGTATTTTTGTCTTCTTCTATTCCAGGCTGGAGAGTGGTGAAGAATAATCCTTCAACAGAAATGTCTGAAGATTGTTCATAACATTGTTTTCTTCTTTATTTTGATTTAAGACTCTTCAATTGACATAATTTCAGGAAATAGCATGTTCATTAAATGCATCAAGCCATGAGTTTGGGAAGTGAACTACTATAGAGTGATCAGTGAATGGATATGTTGGACTTTGTGCATAGTTGTGCGAAGTGGTGAAGTAACTTGGCTTGAATTTAGATTCATCCCTACTCTCCTAATTTCTAAAAAAAAAGTTCTTAAATTTTCTTCCTGATTGTACTGTGTTCACGTTGCAAGGATGGATTGCGAGTTGGTTGGATTAGTGGAAACATTTGCCTACAAAGTGTTGCATGTTGTTAAGCACTGCTGGCAATGCTTATGGTATGTGCTGTGTTGGACTTTGTGCATAGTTGTGCGAAGTGTTGAAGCAACTTTGCTTAAATTCAGATTCATCCCTAGTCTGCTAATTTTTCAAAAGGTTTAAGTTTCTTCAATTTTCTTCCTGTTTGTACTGTGTTCATGTTCCAAGGATGGGTTGTGAGCTGGTTGGATTAGTGGAAACATTTGCCTGCAGAGTGTTGCATGTTGTTTAACACTAGTATTATTTGCTAGCGGTGCCTATGGTTAATTGTTGCTTGTGCAATTTCAGAAAAAAATATATAGAACTTGATAAATTATATCTACATGTTTGGTGCATGTGTACATGTAAGGTGAGAACCAAGATGGAAAGGTCAGGACCCAACAGCTTACTTTTTAAGATATTCAATTAGAGCACATGGCAGTTGGAGTCACTCAGCTGAAAAGGGTTCATGAAAAACATTTGGACATGTATGCTTTCAAACCAAACTGGGGTCAGCAAAGAGCACCAGCCGACTGGCCAGGGTCAAGATCTAGCTGAGGTTGGGGGAGCAGCAACAAACTTCGCTGCTCAGATCAGGTGGTAGGTACTCTTCAATTCATTCCACGTGTTACACTGCTTAGAAATGGGGTATATTCAGAGGATAATTCTGCATTCTCCTTCATCCACCAGTAGCCAAAGGCCCGCAGTAGTCCAGGGACCTCAGTTTTCGACCCATGTTTGAGGTCCCAGCACAGCCATACGGACCCCAGTCCCTAGAAGTCACAGCCAAGCATGCTGAACGAAGATTAGAGATGCAGGTTGCCGTGTGTTAATGGTGCATTGTGAGTTTCCGTGTATAACGGGAGATTTGACGTTGTCGTGGCTTATACGACGTACATTTATTAGTAGAATTAATGAATTGTTCGCATCTGAACGCCAAAATTTGGCCTTATAGGTATTACAGACGGCAAAACAGTTACCTCGTTATGCATCTCTAATAGGAAAGTTGCCTGATGTGGTGTATTTAGTCTGAAGTTAGGTTTACAAATAGTAGGAAATACATACTAATGTTTTCGCTTTTTTCCTTATGATTTATCAAGTAAAAATGATATTTTAGAATATGATTTCATCTGTAAACACTCGTTTGCACAATATTGATGCGTATTTTGTTTGCATTTCACTTTTATTTTGAATAATATAGGAGGAACTGAACACAACTAAGTTTAGACTAGATTTCTTCCTACTGAAACGGGCCTCGCTGGCCCTCTAGAGGGCTTAGCTGGCCCGGTCAGGTTTATGCCGTTGTGAACCCGGCTAGTGAAATGTACAAGCGTTGGTTGCATTCGTTGCATGGAGAGTTCTATGGCCTTGGTTGCATTTGTATCAGTGTTGTGGCGGTATATTTAATACAATACAACACCATATACAGAGAAATATTGTACCAAGGTCCTATATACCTGCTCGTTAATACTGTGCATTACATTGTACAATCATGAGCCACGGTACATAGAAAACTTAGAAAAGCCTGTCCCGTAGCTCAGTTGGTAGAGCATTGGACTCCCGGTAGTGAGAGCCCGGGTTCGAGACGCTCCGGCGCTCGATATTTGAGACTCCTGACGGGGATGGTCTGCGGTTGGTGGGAGCAGCCGCAGCCAGTTGAAGTCAGTTGAGTGGGACAGGCCGTGTCCGGCTTTGAAGGGCACGTTAAACTTTGGCATCTAAATTCTCCCGTTACCCGGAATTGCGCGATCGGACGGTAGGGGTCGGGGTCTACGCAACAAGCTCTGCTTAGCGTGGGCTCCGGCTCTGTCAATCCGTCCATTCAAACATTCGAGCTAAATTTAATAAAAAAAAAAAAAAACTTCATGAGCAATTCACATACACAAATTTGAATTACATGAGTAGCCGCGTTTGCTTAGGGATTGCTGCAAGTGGCTGCAAGATTATCATTATAGCTTGAGCTCCGCCTGTTATGTTGCAGGAGATGCCAATTTACAAAATCATTCCCTCTAAACATACAAAGATTACGAGATCAAAACTATCATAAAATAAGTTCGCTAGAGCCTAGTCAAAAATGCTGTGTAAAGTAAACGTGACTTAGGTTATGTTGCACTTGGCTGGTTTCCACTACAAGCGTGCATATGGCATCTGGATAATCAGGGATAATTTTCCAGGATCACCAGGATCATTCAGTGTTTTAAGCTGACACCGTGTACAACAGACATGACTAGTACCTATGAGAGCCATTAGTTAATCAAAAACAATTAGAAAATAGGACTAATTGCATCAATAGTTCCTGCAAGTTTGCAAATTATTACTATTATTATTGCAAAGTATCAAATTATTACAGGTGATCCCAGAT